TTGTAATCAACAGGATAAGATATTCTTAAAAATTCTATTAACGTTTTGCTGCTTCGGCACTTATCGGTACTACCAATGCCACCCTTATTTTAACCGTTGGTAATGGTGGCCATATTTGTGACGCCACGCTTAGAAGGCTTAGATTCCTCTATCTTACACTATTCACGCTTCCTGGATACACTGTGGTTTGTGCAGATTGACAAGGTTCCTTTTCATAATTATTAATTCAAGATTCGATCTCGCAGCAACAACTAAAAGTACTATTAATAGTTCCTTGATTCCGATGAAGATTGTTTCTTGTGCTGTGAAAAGATTAATTTTACGTTTTTCTTAGGTCTACAAGTACTATCTACCTAATTATGAAGAGGTGTTGTTGTACAGTGAAGAGTGAAGACGTCTTATTAGTTTTAGTTTGTGTTTTACCTGTACCAGTATTTTTGTTATCAGCAGTTATTCAGTGAAACTTTCAAGTCAGCGGTTTCAGTCCGGTAGCTCTCTCAAAAGGTTTTTTCATATTTTTGTGACTATCACGAAAAGCTAACTGTCAAAGAATATAGAATAATTACTTCAAATATTTTAAGAAAGGGTTGTGAATTGATCCAAAAAATCTCTCTATAATACCGAATAAATATTTATTGAAAATTTCTTTTCAACATCAATTGCATTGTTTATTATTTTTATTTTATATTGCGTTAGTACATTGGAAGTTACATTTATACATTTTTAAACAAAAAATACGTTTCGTTAACAACTTTACCTCTTAGAATGAAAATAGAACGATAGGGAGGAAAGAGTGTGGGATTTAAGATGTGAGAGATCTCTCACGGGTATGCGGGAAAGTAGGGGATAACTTGTCCTAAGGCACAACACAAAGAACAAACTTTTTAAATTAACTAAAGTATATTAGCTTGAAATAAATGAAGAACAATAATCAAAACGCACAATACTACGTGAAAATATTATAAAAAGCAACCAAATTTAAAATAATAGAAAGAATAGCGCAAGTCACTCGACAACTGCCAGCAGTTACAATTCAGATGCACGATTTAAATGATGGCGGTATCCGGATGTCGGTACATAAATGTCCTGCAGCATTGCCTGTACCGAAGGCAAGTCTAACCCTCCTGAATTGTTTCTAATGGTAACAAATGGTATTTATAACTCAAAGGGTAAAATATGACTTTTATTATTTTTTGGCTCGGAAATGCTTTTCTTGAGGCACGCAAGAACGCAGAAAAATATCCAATACTTTTTAGTATGCAAATAATTTTTCAATTTTCGCGCCCCAGCAAACTGGCGCCCTGCCCTTCCAGAAACCCCTCTGTTCCTCATAACGAATCCAGGAAAGTTAAATAGTATTGCAATGTTATACATGCTGATCCTTTATTTTTGCATGGAAAACTTTTTTTGACCTTCTCATGAGCAAAAACCTTTCTTAATATTTTTATGACTACCTAGGAAAACAAAAAGGTAAGCATCAAGGAAGACTGAATAACTCCTTTATATGTTTTTTAAGGAAGTGTTACTTGTTCGAAGAACATAACTCTATAATACTGAATAAACCTTTACTGAACATTTGTTTCCAATATCAATTGGATTGTTTTATTTTTGTTTTATGATTGAAGTAAGGTAAGGACGAAGTTATATTTATACAGTTTTTAACAAATAAACACGTTTCATTAACAACGTTCCTTCTTAATGGAAAGGGTAGGGAAATGGATTGGGAAAGGGTGGGGATTAACATACCAGTTCTCTCACTAATACGCTAGTAAATAATATAATATCAGAGTTTCAATATGGATTTCGGGAAGGTCATTCAACGATAGGTCAGACACACAGAATAGTAAACAAAATATCTCAAAGTCTTGAAGAAAAGAAACATTGTTCTGCCGCTTTCTTGGACATACAACAAGCATTTGACAAGGTCTTGAATGAAGGTCTGTTATTCAAAATCAATTACTCCCTCACTCATTCTATACTTTTTAAATCATACCTATCCAGTCGATTTTTCAAATAAAATACCAAGATGTTTTCTCTGAATTTAAACCAATGTGCGCAGGTGTCCCTCAAGGAAGTACCCTTGGGCCAATACAGTATATAATATGTACTTCTGACCTACCAACAACAGAATGCACTATGATCGTTACATTCGCTGACGACACAGCTATCGTAACCTCCAACTAGGACTCAACTCAAACATCACAACACCTGCAAGCCACCTGGACAAGATAGAAGAATGAACGAATCAATGGAAAGGAACTATAAGCACAGGAAAGTCACAACATATTACCTTCTTACTTTGAAAGGAACAGTGTCCAAAAGATAAACTAAACTCGTCAGAACTCTCAATAACAAGTGTTGTGAGGTATCTTGGTTTACATCTAGATAACCACTTAATCTGGAAACCCCATATCATAAAAAAGAGGAAAGAATCACAAATGAAAGTAAGCAAACTATCGTGGCTACTTAATCGAAGATTCTTATACAACAAAATATCACTGTACAAAGCAATTATCAAGTCAACATGGACGTACGGCATAGAACTGTGGGGTACAGCCACCAAGTCAAATCTGGAGATTCTGAAAAGATTCTAAACAAAAACATTGATATATTTGTGCAACACACTGTGAATCGTAACCAACAATAATTTGTACAAAGATTTGAACATCTCAACTATGGCAGAGACTATCAGCAAGCGAAGTAAGAGCCATCAGACGAAACTGAGCCACCATACGAACCTACTTTCAGTGAATATATTGGACAATAGTGAACACGTGAAAAGACTGAAGCGTGAACACATATTAGATTTATCAATTGGTATTAGATTCACGTAATAGTTACTTGTATATTGTATAACATTTCCTAATTGTTCCAAGTGAACAGATTCTAAATTGGCAGTATTGAAAATAAAAAAAATAGTTACTGTGAAAATCCCTACTGGAAATGAAGAGAGGATTGAATGATGAGTTACTGAAACTTTGAAATCAATTCACTCGAAACGACTGAAATGTTAGTTCAAAACTTCTCATTTCAAAGGGTCGAAATGCCAAGCAACCAATTGCTTGCGATTCGGCGAGTGGTCGATCGCCGAATGCGATTAGAACCGCTTTAAGAAGTAAGGTCGAACTTTTACAGAAATAGACTCAGTTTTCCATATTTTTAGGCATGCAAAGAGAACTTAAGAATTTCGTTTGATAACATGTTTATTTTTAGAAATGAAAAAGAAATTTATTCTGTTTACCAGCTACAAACGTCTCTGTATATAGAATTCGTTTTCTTGTAGTCTTAAATAAAATTGTTTTAATAATCCCCAACTTGTTTCTTCAGTAAAACTTGCTTCGTTTAAACAAGAATGGCATGCTAATGAAACTATTCAATTCTATCTTAATATTTTAAAGTTGTTGGTTAAAACGTAAGTTGGTTCTATGTGCATTTCGCAGGCTGTGGAGGGTTTGACTATGTTACCACGGAAGAATATAATGTATTCCTCCAAGATGCGGCCTGCAGATATGACAAGGTTAGCGACAACTGCTCTACAATGGATTCTCTACAGATGGAGTACCCAAAGTATCTAGTGTACTCTGATGTAGAAATGCGAAACTTCTTGAAGATCTTGTCGCCCACCCGAATGACGAATAATGGAGGATGATTATTCGCTTTAAGGCCCGCTTCCTCTCCAGTGTTGAGGCACCTGTGCCAAAAAATACGTCTTAATGCAACAAGAGGCCACTGCTTGTAAGCGATTTCTTGAAAAGCTACCGTGACGCGGCGCATGGTCAGCAGAAGTGCAGATCGGCGGTGTCGAAAGAAACTCCTGCTGTGGATGGAGTCAAATGATATATCAACGTGCATTAAATTATTTTAGTCTTTTACTCTCTTATTGCCGACTTGGATCGCCGAGGTGGATAGAGCGTGTGCTGACTTAGCGCCTCTCCGTCGCAGGTTCGAAAACAGTCATGGGCGTGGTTTCTTGTCCCTGGTCTTTCATGCACGCGGAAGGCCTTGTGAGTCTACTGACCACAGGCCGAGGAAACTGCAAGTGTGTCTAGTGTAAAGTGTGTGTCCTCACGAGGAAAATAGGGGATATCCGGCGCGGATAGTCGAATTCGACATCTCCTGAAACTGAAAAAAACAGGAAGAAGAAGAAATCTGCCGATCCGGTGGCCGATATCGCTAAGGCAGTAGTGCCGTAGCGATCTCGGACCGAAGGATCGTGGATTCGAGTCCCGCCTCGGGCATGGTTGTATTGTGTTCGTCCTTTCACACCCTACCATCACCATATCACGTCATCTTCACAGTAACCATACCGTTACAAGCAATAGTTGTCGCTAATGACCTAGAAGGTGATGCGGCCTTGAATTTAAAAAAAAATCTAATTTATTAACTAAGCAGTGTCTGGTTGATTGGCTTCACTGCACGCTACCGGCTGATAATATTCAATGAAGTCATTCACACCATTCATTCCAACAACTAATTTGTTAAAAACTGTATAGTTCGTTTATCAACATACATCATTGACATTTCAGTATTTTTCCTTTGCTGATTTTCAACCTCATATTTACTCACTTTATTTATTTGAGGATGCACTTTTTGTAACTTCAATGTTGCCCTGAGAGTTCCCTAAATGTGCTTACTAGTAATTACAATAATTATTATTTGTTCTAACTCGTAACAATATCGATAAAATACTCAGATTCAGAGAGAGATGCCGTTCGACCGATTTCGTTCGTTGGAAAGTTTTCTTTCGATTCGTTCGACCGATTCTTCGCAGTTAGCATCCACGAATTCATCTGCGCACTTTTCCACTTAATGCCCTCTGAGATTCTTCTAGTTCGCTATCATCGTAAGAGGAAAAGAAACATGCATGCCATGGTGAATAAAAATCTTGTTTGTGATCGTTGATGGAACGGAAGAGCATTCTGGTTGCACAGGTGCGCCGCGCGTGCTATGTGCTTACGTCACCCTCTTCGCACATGCCTTTAAAGAGGCGCCGACTCCCAGTAGCACGCACACAGGCGCCGCCGCCGCAACACACATCGCTCGTCACTCGTCAGGTGAGATTTTCCCATACACATTTCATTTGCAACTTGTTTCTGCACAAATATTTGGCGAATTTACACAATGTTAGCGATCTTAAGAGTACACGTCCACTGTCTGTCCCATTAATATGTCGTATCCTGAAGATTAAAAGCTTAACTGTCAAATAGCACATGACGTACTACATAAATGTAGGAAATAAATACCTATGTTTAGTAAAATACATACTAAATTATATATGTACGTCTTGGGTCTATTGTCCGACTTTTGCGGCTTGATGTCACTGCAGTGCCTCTAACCGGGATGTCCCAGGGTTCGAGACCTCACGATGGTAGATTGATTGATTGATTGATTGATTTAGTGATTCCGGGCACGTTAGCTCGGGAGGTAGCGGTGATCTTTTCTCCGCTGTGTGGCGAGATCCGGCGCCGACCCATGGACTAGCGGGGTTTTCTCCAACCAGGTATCTCCCACCAACGGGACACCGCTCTGCGAGGACAAGCTCTTACCTCTTGACGGGTCTCCCGGCATGTGTATAATGCGTGTTACTGTAAGGGGTGAGAATAAGACAAGTAAGAGGAGAGATTGCGCGTAGTCCGTGGCCCTTTTGTTAGGGCACTACTCCGGCATTTGCCTGGTGTTGATCGGAGAAACCTCGGAAAACTACCGATTAGAGCAGTCGGCCTCTAGAAATCTCCTCCAGAAAGCGACTGAATTCGACCTAGCTAACAAGCTAGTGAAAATCCGGCCACCGTCGGGTCTCGAACATAGGACACCGCGGTCAGAGGAACTGCAGTGACATCAGTTAATGCCCAGAGCCACCTCTCCCGGGACGATGGTAGAGTTTTTGACACTAGCTTGATAGGTAGGTCGAATTAAGCTGCTGTCTGAAGGAGAACTCAAGCGGCCGGCTGCTCTAATCGGTAGTTGTCCATGGTTTCTCCGATATCAGACGAATGCCGGAGCAATGTCTTAAAAACGGGCCACGGACCGCGCGCGCTCTTTCCTTCCTTTTCCGTGCTCCCTCACTTACACACCCTTACACTTACATGCTCTATGCTAACACACATGTCGGGAGCTTGGAGCTTGTTCGGGCTGGGGCGGTACCTCACTGGTGGAAGATACCAGGTTGGGGAAAAACTCGCCAGCCTACTATTGGTCGGCTCCGGTACTCGCCATTCAGTCGATCACCGCCGCCTCCCGAGAGACACTTGCGGGCCCAAGGACCTTGGCAGTTGACGCGCCCGAATTCAGTTATCGATCAATCGACTGATCGATCGGATATTAACAATTTTGGAGAAAATCGCCTGAACGATGTAGGTTGACCACAGACGTTTTGCCGTCAACCAGTTTTTAGGTGTCAAGAACTCACAAAACGAGAATAGAAATTGAACAATGTGTTAAAGGAAATAATTTACTATTACTACATATAGGAACGAAATTTATTCTCTTTTTAGATATCAGGACTCACAATACGAGATTTACGGTCAAAAATCACCGATTTTGTTGCAACATTACAATATTTACTCTTTACTACGTAAGTACTTAGTATGACAAGAATGTAAAATTGATAAAAATATAGAATAAGGAATTGAAAAGCCTGTTCAATCAAATTAGACCAAAATATTCATTTCAAGGAAATGTGCATTGTAAGGTTTATAAAATAACAGGAAATTGAAAAACAAAATGTTTAATAGTCAATTTTGTATAATAATAATACAGGCAATAACAAGAATCGTAATGAAACTGCAAGTTTTTTCCTGTTACTGTAGTTCCCTATAAATTGCACATACCATAATTACAATCCTATCAAAAAATGTTCAACAAAAATGATCTTAATTAAATCATTACGAATAGAAGAATTCGTAATGGTTAAACTAAATAAATCTATATCTCTTGTATCTTCACGGCCAACTATATTGTCAGAGCCAGCTGCAACTTCAAGATCAACACATTTATTAATTCGCGCAACTTTTCTTGAACGATGGATTGAAGAAATGCGGGTAGAGTAGGGGTATTAGTTAGGAAATCGGCCACTAGATTTTATGAAGCAATGCTAACCTCTGGAAAATCAGGCCTGCCTTCGTAACTTTCTCAATAACTTGCGTTCGAACTTTCTAAGGAGTTCGAATTATCTCCTGTGATGAATCTTCCCCTGCTTCGGTCATTTTATTAGATTTTTGACAGAAAACAACGGGCAGAAATTCTTGTCTTCAACAGTAAATAGTTTATATTTCGTACAATGAAGATGTGTTTGGAATGTTGTCATCTGTGCTCGCTGCGGGCGTTTGCCTTGAACTATTTATAGTGACAGATAGGGGGAAGCAAGGTCATCGTTCAAGAAAAGTTGCGTGATTAAAACTAGTTCTGATATTTTTTCCTGGAGAAAAGTCGTTTTTGTTATATATTATATACCGTTTTCAAAACCCTATTGGATATCTACAACCTAATAGTTCTCTAACAAATAGAGAAAACTATTTTGATCAGTCTCGCTCAAAATACGTTTCGAGAAACAACACGAAAGGTATGTGACATCTGGAATTTTCCAAAACAACGCTACTTTCGCTGTAACTGTTCACCGCGCTCTGCCTGTCTATTTCACTCTTTCGGTAACACCATTCAATCCGCTAGCTCGCTTTTTCGCTTCCCCTTTGCCTTACGCTCCTTCCTCTCCTACCGCTCCTTTAGATCCTCGTTCTCCTTCCGCTCCTTTCGTTTCATTCTGCTCCATCCACTTCTCCTTCCGCTCCATTCGCTCTGCTCGCCACCCCCGGTCCTTCCTTCCTTATTTCCTTCTTTCTTTCCTTCCTTCCTTCTCTTTCCTTTATTCTTTCTTTCTTTCTTTCCTTCCTTCATTCCTTCTCTTTCATTCATTCCTTCTCTTTCCTTTATTCTTTCCTTCCTTCTTTTTTTCCTTCTTTCTTTCCTTCCTTCCTTCCTTCTCTTTCCTTTATTCTTTCTTTCTTTCTTTCCTTCCGTCATTCCTTTTCTTCATTCATTCCTTCTCTTTCCTTCCTTCTTTATTTCCTTCTTTCTTTCCTTCCTTCCTTCCTTCCTTCTCTTTCCTTTATTCTTTCTTTCTTTCTTTCCTTTCTTCATTCCTTCCTTCCTTCTCTTTCATTCATTCCTTCTCTTTCCTTTATTCTTTCCTTCCTTCTTTATTTCCTTCCTTCCTTCTCTTTCCTTTATTCTTTCTTTCTTTCTTTCCTTCCTTCATTCCTTCTCTTTCATTCATTCATTCTCTTTCCTTTATTCTTTCCTTCCTTCTTTATTTCCTTCTTTCTTTCCTTCCCTCCTTCCTTCTCTTTCCTTTATTCTTTCTTTCCTTCCTTCATTCCTTCTCTTTCATTCATTCCTTCTTTTTCCTTCCTTCTTTATTTCCTTCTTTCTTTCCTTCCTTCCTTCTCTTTCCTTTATTCTTTCTTTCTTTCTTTCCTTCCTTCATTCCTTCTCTTTCATTCATTCATTCTCTTTCCTTTATTCTTTCCTTCCTTCTTTATTTCCTTCTTTCTTTCCTTCCTTCCTTCCTTCTCTTTCCTTTATTCTTTCTTTCTTTCCTTCCTTCATTCCTTCTCTTTCCTTTATTCTTTCTTTCTTTCCTTCCTTCATTCCTTCCTTCCTACTCTTTCATTCATTCATTCCTTCTCTTTCCTTTATTCTTTTCTTCCTTCTTTATTTCCTTCTTTCTTTCCTTCCTTCCTTCTCTTTCATTCATTCCTTCTCTTTCCTTTATTCTTTCCTTCTTTCTTTCTTTCTTTCCTTCCTTATTTCCTTCTTTCTTCCTTCCTTCCTTCCTTCCTTCCTCACTTCATTCATTCCTCCATTCCACCCACTGGACCCTGTGTCTTCGAACATCGGTTCAGGCACGAAAAAATCTTAAAACTTTTTCTCGCAACATTTGTGAATTTTTCAGACTTTATTCAATTGCTGGTCCATTGTTAAAAAGTAAAAACCTAAGACATCTGTAATCTTAGGTCCCCTAACTGTCCCCCATTGTTTCCCTAAGTGTCCCCACATTTCCCCTACCCTCCTCCAAAATACGTGATATGTCCGAACTCATGTACCCTAAAAAATGCGGGTCCCAACGAGACACGCACTGATTTCATTGTCTAGATCAAAGGTCTGGATTCAACATCAGTCAATCAAATTTGAAGAGGAATTGCCAGAAAGACTGGAAGTTGTGTTCTAGTGTGAAGTGTGTTCACTTTTAAAATAATTATTTAAAAAGCGATATTCTTGGAGATTATAAGCGTCCTGATTATAAGCGTTTCTTGAGCGTTCTGACGAGCTTATATGGTTTAACGTACAGTTCAGGGGCTGACAGCCTACAGTTGAAATATAGTACGAAGCGATTTTCACCTTTTAAACTGTGATGTACAAAGTGCTGAATTTTCTCAGTGTCCAGGTGGTTTTATTTAAATTTCCCGCACCCAGCTATCTTCAGACACGACCCAATCACTTTCTCGAAGTTCCTAACGAAGGTAAGGGATATTCATATGTGTCCGATCCTGCCTGTTACATTCGAATCGAAACCCCGTTTCAGTCACGTGACTGCCGACTTTTTCCTTCGCTCGGCGGCCCGCCGTCTAGCGTGCGTCCCTCTCGTTCCAGCGCGTACGTCCTCCGCTAGCCATGAGCCTGAAGACCCTGATGGTGCTGGCGCTGGTGGGCGCGCTGGTGCAGGCGGCGCTGGCCATCGAGTGCGCGCCCGGCATCTGCTCCGCGGTGCGCTGCGCCAACGTGGACCCCGCCAGCTGCAACGGGGAAGTGCGCCAGCACGCCTCCTTCTGCGGCTGCTGCCCGCTCTGCATTTCCATCATCCGTAAGCTCCTCGGCGGCGTAGTTATAGGAGGGCCGGGGGCGGCGTCATTTTAGGGGAGGCACCAATTAGAAAATTTTACAGTTGAAATTATATAATTTTAATTATATATTTCAAATGTCTAAGGCAAGCGATGCAAACAAATGCCAGATTAGCCCGTGCAGGTAATATGGCTACGTTGTTAGCTGAAACTATTTCCTATTGAGAGTGCTAGCATTCAGACTGGGAGAGTGTAAGAAGTGCGTTAACACCCTTCCAGACTTGTTGACTCGCGCTTTCGCACTCTGGAACCTCCATTGTCAAGAACTGAAGGCGCTCTGTCCTTATACCTTCTTTGCAGGGAACTTTATCAGTAATTACATTTGAAGAAGGATTCAATAATTTGACAATATACATCAACGTTTAGCGCAATTAATGAACAATCTAATCAGATTAATGCCGTTTAATTTGTCCAATATTTTACCAACGTGGGATAGATTTTATAACATGTTTTGCTGTCAATATGGCAAAGGGAATGGGCCAGCATATTACTAGCACTTAAGGTCGTGTTAACTTTGTATTTGATATACTAATGTTTTTGTGTTTTATTTTCTGTAAAACGAATCCTGCAAAGAAAATGGGTGTTTAGTCAAACCAATGTGGAAAACAAAGCCAGCAATCAACTTTTGTGATATTGTTTTAAAAAAAGATTTATTTCAGACCATATTTTGGTAAAAGTAAACATATTATATATTAGTATAGATAGCTCTGAATTCATGGTCATGTTACAACAAATCAGTTTATTTGGCAGTGGCCATAAAACCTGCATATGGGCATATTACCTCCAAATTACAATGTTTTTGTATATTGTATATTTGCACGTGGCATTTATTTAAAATATTTCATTTTTATTACATAATGTATTCAGAACTAAATTAATCGTTTAAACAATTGTGCCGGTACCTGCGACGCGATTGGAGGCACGCAGGTCTCCGGGCCGGCTCTTTCAAAATCTCCGAAAAATAATTTTTATTAAATAGTGTAGCAAACTTTCATAATTCATGGTAATCTTAGTACAAACACGAAGGATACTTAAATAATATGCTTTTATCGATCGTTTGATCCATTATTACTATTACTATTAACAATTTTTATGTTAAACTCGCTATTTATTCGGTCTTCTCTATTTCCACACAGATTGATTGTACACATAAATTCATGGAAAATGTATAACTAACCATGAAATATTTATATACTTATTATTCCATGATAATTACAGTTATTTATGACATTTTTTTGTGCCCTAAATAATAGAATTGTACTTTAAAGATTAACTCTTCACTACTCAATACTATAAAACGGCATAAATAGTTGGTCTCGGCAGCTTGCAGCACCCTGTTATAAAGGTGATTTATTAGGCCCTATATGGAGCCGACACCCTATCGGAGAATTACACAGAACTTGGTCATTCGGTGCAACCATTAGAGGCTTCCTGCCATTTCAAACAGGGGAGAGGAGGCAATTTTACATCAGACCCTCATTTTTTTTCTTTATATAATTTGTGTAGAAAAAATTATGTATAGTTGCATGGAATAGTGACAGGTTTTTTCGTAGAAAAAAACTTTTTGTTGGTTCCTGAAACCGGATAAGCGAATTTATTTCCTCCTTTGGGCAAAACAAATAATTTTTGCTGTTTGTTCAAAGGGTGGGATCAAAAATAGCAATTATATAAATTAAGAAGTAATATTAATATTTATCTGGAGTTACACTTAATAGCATTGAACTACTGTTAAATATAATTTTGTTCAAACACTAATGTACCTGGCCGAGAGAATTAAGAATTACAGTGGTTAAAATAAATTAGAAGTAAAAAGGTACATTTTTATAAGTTTTTATAAAAAAAATTGGCAGGCCATTATCTTGAAATGAAAAAAAATAACTAAGGGAAGGCCACTTAAGAATGTCATGCGATCAATGTGTATTACTCAGTCTCAATATAATGATTAAAATTACATACTATATTAGTTTTTGACACGTCTCTTCCCTCCCCCATCAGATAACTCCAGGATATGAGACCCAAGCTCCATCGGTTCACAAGGCCATGGTCCTTCACTCTCCCTCATCAAATTGAACATACGTCCTTTCTTTATACACAAGCTCAGTGGCAGACTTATCATTTTGGGGATCCCAAGCTAAAATATATTTGAGACCCCCTATTACTGTCAACAATAACACTTTTGAAATTCAAAATTTTAACTTCTATGCAATGCAATCAAAACATGCATTGAAATAATAATTTTATTCAAATGTTTAATTTAAAAATGTATAACTATAATATAACATAATATAAAATCTATGTGTCAAACTAGCTGCAATATATCAACACCATAAGAGACAAAAACTAACTAAAAATTATGCAAATTATGCAATCTTTTGTTCATAAAATTAGAAATAGTATAGTCGAAAGACGAAACCTTGGAAATTATCATTTTTACTCAAGTTTTTTGTTGGTGAATTGGGTTTCTGTTGTCTCAAAGTAGCTCCATGTCAGTTTTTAACTCCTCTAAGTTTATGACGCACTAACAGATGTGGTCTGGATTGTCTGTCCCATTTTATTATTTTAAAACATTTGAGCTCGAATAAGCCAAATGTCACGTATGAAAAGATACCATTTGAGTCAGTCATTAGAAGGCTTTGTGATGGATTTTGTCACACACTCGACAAGTTCAAAATATAATAAATGAGAATAAAAAATTCCAGTCTCAGATTATTATATATCTGTTATTAACTCCACTAGTGTGTTTATTAAATGTATTTAATTTTTATTTATTTTCTGGCACTAATTATAAATGTGTATATTTTCATAATTTTTTAGCAAATTTTGCAGCTGTTAAATAATTTTTGAGGCCCTTTGGACTCTGAGGTCCTAAGCTGTCCAGTAAAAGAACTTATTTAGCTTTACAGTAAATCCGCGCCTGGGCCAGCTATAACAAGATAGGTTTCCCACGGTCCCTACAAAGAATAGGCCTACAAATCTAGACTAATATCTTAAAATAAACATTCAATGTATTGGCTGCATTTATGATTTTTTATGTTTTATGATTACATACAATAATAATTACTCCATTTTCAAAACAACTCTTTTTGAGATGAAAAAGTAAATTAAAAGATACTACTGCTAATCTGTAAAACCACTTCTCTTCTATTGCATTGATAGGAATCATCTAAAAAATGAAAGTTCATCTCGCATAGTATATTGAATCATAAAAAATCTTTTAATATTGTACCTGTGCAAATAAATAAAATTAAATGAGTTTTAAAGTATTTTGTAATTCATTGCGTTTGTTTCTGTTTTCTTTCAGAAGCTGGAGGTCTCTGTTTTGATGGCATCCTGGGTCTGCCACCTACCAGTGAATGTGCTACTGGTACAGCTTGCATCAATAGCACTTGCACCCCTCTTACAGAAATCTCTGAACAATAATGTGATTCAGTACCATCCATCATTACATTTCACTTTAACCAAATCTGTCTTTCAAAACGAAGTACATAAAACAAATTCAACAATGTATGAAATAATATTAAATTTTTAATCACTTATGACATTTAGTATAATTATTCATAGTGTACTACTTCTTCATAATTGTAATATTAATAGTAACTATTCATAAAATGTATAACCTTTGTGGCTGTAAATCACCAATTATTTAAAAAGAATATCCATAAACAATGGAGCTTAGTGTGGCCCCACCGGCAGGTCTTTTGTGATAAAACTTTTTCATTTATGCCATGCACATTTATAGTAAAAAGAAAAATATTTGTTTTGTCCACTCCCATATTTCCAAGATCTTACTTTATCCAAAAATACATGATAAAGTATCCATAGAAAATCTTTGTGTGTGTGTGGTTTTCATTGCAAAATTAGGTTTTATCTATGTGATGAATCAAGTAATGTAACAATACGTGTCATGCCAGAAAGCCATAAATTCACGTCTTTTCACAACTGTAAGAGTCATTATCCCCCCTCCCCAACATGTTTTTTCAATAACTCTTCCAAAATATTTTAGAAGGATCCGGCTAAACACATCCAATCAATTTATCTTATCAAGAGGAATTGTCTGAGCCTTTTAGGTGCCTCAACCCCTCACCTCTCCCCCCCCCCCCCAAAAAAGTGTTTTAGGAGTACAACACAAGGTTTTTTGAGAATTACCTTAAATTATTCTGGAAGGGTGTGAAAAACAGTCAGTTTCCCATCTTTAGGCTGAGAGGCATTGAATTACTCACTTGTCTGAATGATGGTCTAGTTACAATTTAACCCTGCATTTTTCTTACGTCACAACCAATCTACTTTTTATACCACTAAACCTTTATATTTCAAGAAAGCCATTCATATGATTTCCTCTTCCCATACTTATACTCAACCAAAGGCTTAAAACAGTGTGATATATCAGAATTAGATACATAATGCTACTATCCAGAACATCCCAAATTGTGGAGAATGTTACTGGCCTCAAGGCTCTTATGAGGGTACTGCCATTTCTCATCACAATTAATGAAGTCAACAGTATTAGTATTATCAGGGACAGAACCAGAGACAAATTTTGGGAGGAGAAATTAAAAATGTTTTTGTTGAATTTGTCATTACAGATTTTGTAAAATGTCGCAGGCTTTGCTCAGCTCATGCTGCGAAATGATTTTTTTCGTTGTACTGATTATCCGAAAATATTTTTGCTTGAAAGATTAACAATTTAAATTAATAGTTACAGAAAAAGCTTTTATTTGGGGGGGATTTCCCTCATTTCCCTCCCCTTGCATCCGCGCCTGATATTATTAAAGATAATCTTCTGTTTGAATTAATGTATTTTTCTTTGTAGATAACATCACCGGTTCAAAGAAAAAGAATATCTAACTACCAATATTATTCAGAATAGCATTACACAAGATCAGCAAACACTTCAGATTTCACCATATTCAAAAGAAAAGTACAATGGGAAAATCTAGAGGGCATTTTTATATTAAAGGAGCTTGCACTGACCCAAGCACTTTAGAGCTTAGTTAAGGGACTACTAGCGTAAGCTTTATTTAAATTGACAGATGGAAACGAAATGATATGCACTGTCAGGAAAAGGATAGGTATCAAAATATTCTTATATCATACTTTACAAAAATTGTTCCTTTCTGTTCTCAAGTTAAAAATCTCAGTCTGACCATCAAACAATTTCTAAATTAGGAACTCCATGCTCAGGACACTTGCTGCGTCAATGTACCCACTCAAATGTGCTTACAAATGCCTTCCACTCAAAATCCATGAACTACTAGAAAAATCTCTTATCTCCCCTGCTTGATTATGGTGATATTGTGAAAAGTAATGAACACAGTAACGTATAAATCAACGTCTGATGATCCCCTAATGCCTTGCCTCTCAGAGTCGGGTTCCAGTTGTTTCAAGCAACCTAAAACAGTTATTTTTAAAGCTGCTAAATAAGATTGAAGACCTGCACCACCTAAAATTCTGCTGAACAAAACAAAATTAATTTCCAAACAGTTGCACACACACACTACTTAAAAACAACGAATAAAATTCTCTCTTACCACACTGCAATTTATTAAATATTTTAACAAAACGAGTTCTTTATACAAAATGATTACAATTAATACACTGCAATAACCTGGTACAGTTGTTACGGATACAATGCAACTGTACACAGAGCCAGAGAATATCTCAGCAGATGAATTGTTTTTGAAATTTAGAAATTTGAATAGAATAATTAATTAATCTTTCTCTACACTTGTTCAATCTATTTTGCTGCTGTTATTTGTGTACAAAATGAAATAAAATTTTAACTTATTTTAAATAAATAATAAATTATCTGTGTATTTCCAGTCTGACATAATTAAATTCTGTATTACATTCACAATTTCAGTTGTTTATGACAAATACTATCAATTGACTGTAATTATTTTTAGCTTGTCTGATGGATATACGTTTGATATCAGAGTCTGTGATTTCATGTTGTGGAGAATCACTCTATTACATCTTTTATTCTGGTTTTGGTATTGTGATGAACATACAGCAACATATATTATTATAAATAAAATGTAGGTGTCCACAAGTGATTTCAAAATAATTAACATTTTATAATATGATTATTTACATAATATAAAATCCCATTTAATTGTTTTACAAGTTTTGTCTGGCATACTGTTCCAGCTACTCTCAGGATTTCAGACACACACTTCTTTTTCCTCTATCCTCCAAAAAATCATAATCTCTATTATCTTCTTTTACCTACCATTCAAGTAGTTATTAATAGTCTGGCTTCTTATAGTTCCAGCACAAGATTAATTGAGGAACTATACTCCAATATTCCCAAAAAGCATTGTTTCATTCTCCTTGACATTAGTGTTTGGATGAACATTTGAGTTCTATTGATTTCAGAAAGGATATTTAAATGGTATCAATACTACTAGTTTCCAGTGTGTGCAGAAAATGAAGGAATTTTATCAATCTTCCAGCCTTTTGAGACACATCAAGGGTTTCATTGGATGCCCAGGAACTCTTAATGTATCCATTCGTAATACTGTAATTGCAGTGTAAAAATTGTTCTAAATTTGTTAAAAGGACAAACTTAGGACTATTTCTATTGAAATATTTAATTTCTTGCACTGTTATAAGAGAATATTTTATTTCTTGTTTTTGAGCACACTGCAAACGCCTCTTTGAAAAAACTAATTTGTGTGGCTTCATTCAGCAGGAGGCCACTAGTAATTAAATATTTTTGTAATAGAAAAATTAAATTTGTCAAAATCCAAGTGAGATAAAATGCTCCTTTCTTTGGACATTACTGCTGATGTCAAAGAAACAGTAATTACTTAAGCTCATGGGAAAATGAACTCACCACAACAGAAATAGATCTCTCTTTATATAATTACTCTTCACAAATAGTATGTTGCCTTTTTTAATTTAAAACATTGCACCTTTTGTCCAGTGACGAGGCATGGAAGGCAAAACACCACTACATATCCCATACAAACATTTGGGTGAAGCCACTAATAGAGTGCCTTAGTAGGAGCTACTTCAATACAAAATTTGGAAAATAAAAATTGGAGCCTTCCCAGTTTCTTTACACTTGCAGAGAATGAAGCCTTATGCCTTGTACTAGTGAGATGTAGAACAAAGAAAATAATTTTCCTTTCTTAATACTTCAAGAAGGAGTTAAAAACATCTTATTACTATTAGTACTGGAATATGATAACAAACTGGTATTTTTAGGACAGTATGATTGAAAGTGTTTCAAAGATGTTCATGAGTGGCAAAATGTTCATGTGAGCACCACTAGAGCTTGGAAATAAATTAACAAAAAAATATATCAAATTGAAAATTAGCCATTTTCAGACAAGGGATCTATTCAAAAAGAGGTATGCTAATCACGCATAGTTTCACACAACAAACTTAGCATTGTAGTCTAAAAGCAGTTTAATAAAATCTACGAAAATAACTACTGATGCTTTTACCCTCTTCATCATCATTTCACAATTATCCAGAATAGAGGTCAATTCTCTGAACTTGGTTGCCACGACACTGGGGGTTGTCCGGAAGAAGTAACCAATTATGGTGGCAGAAGAGTTATGATCGACCCAAGATAATACTTACTGCAACAAAGATATTAAAAGAAAAAATATGACAAGACGAGAGCTTAATAGAAAAGTTACACCATGTAGAATGAAGAGAGAAATCTAAGAAAACCAAGAGAAAATATTTTAAAAGTGATACAAAGTATGATTGCACTGATAATAGATGTCTTTGAAGGGAAAGGTCGTATGTATAATTAAAAGAGTAATACAGTTTTTGTTAACTAGATTTCAGCTTTCCACTCAAGCATTATTCATAGCCAAAAGCATGTGGAGTTTAGGTGTGTTGGCAATATTTTGCAGTTTGCTTGTACACACCTACAGCCCATTCATACAGCACACATCCATACAACCCACAACACACATTCTTTGACACACTGATTTTTTGTGTGCAAATTAATGTTTGTACAAAACATTGCAAATACTAAGTAGTAAATTCTAAGATTCTCAATGTGGGAGACAACATTTCTGTACCTCACGAAACTTTATTTCCACAATCTGCTTCCAGGCATGAAGCAATTTTTTTCTAATTTGAATATTATTCCTTTGAAGAACTGTAAGAAATCTTTTTCTTACACATTGCTATATATATATTTTATTTCCCAAAAGGCTTTCCTAAATATCAATGGCTTTTACCAAAGTCATACTAGACAACATCAGCTAGTAATACTTATGTAAAATAACATATCACACGATGCTAAAGATTAATAAAAAATATCTCTAATAATTACAAGCTTTATTATTAACCATTATTTAGAGCCAAGTATTGTGAAGCTTGAAGAATTCAGTCAAGGGTTTCAAAAAACCTTAACAACCACAGCTGTAGAAGAAAGTAATGACATTAAAAAGAAAAGAACTGACAAGTAAATTTCACAATTCAATTTGAAAATATAACATACTGGATATATTCTAAACTTAACATCCTTCTGGTAGATTTTATACCAGCAAGTTTTCTTCACTAGATGCGAGAGGAGTGGGAAGTTTGGTTATTGTGACAAAAGGAATTTTATGTCGAATTAGTAGTTCATTTTCCATGCAAAATAGTTTTTAATACATGGGAGCGAATATTCGTCACCAGATTTTGTCTACAACTCTCATTGCTATCATTTATTATTAATGCAACTAATGTTAGAAAAGGATAGATATTCTGGGCATCAAGAAAACGTGCGGATATAATACCTCAACCTCATACCTTATATAGGAAAGTAATGAAATGCAGTAAGTGAAAATAAATGAACCACTACAATGATTCACTCCAAACTTCCAATGTTTTCAGCAACACTTTGATCTGGTTTGAAACAAAACAATCATATGAAATATTCGGTCTTTCAATGATTCCAGTTCAAGAAATAAAATTGTTATACAAAGCAAAAACTAGTCCGCTTGGATTTAGTTCTAATCACCAATGTTCTTGATTCATAAGTAATTGATTCATCTGTTTAACATCAAGTGCCTACTCTCTTGTCCCCCCCCCCAATGCAAATTATCAATTAAACAGTTTAGAAAGATGCATTCATCTTTTTATTTTTATTTCATATTTAACAAGTATGAAATTATTTTAAAAACAAAAATCTGAATGAAACTCTTGCATCTTTTACACAGTAAATAGAATTTTATCACAATAAGTTAAATATCTAGCATTAATACAGAAAAATTAAAAAAAGAAAGCCTGGGTAATGCTTTAATTATCTTAGATATATTTTATTGAAATGTATCAATACTTGTATTAAAATTTGTAACTAACATACACAACAAATGAATGGTTAAATGCTTTCAACAATTATAAAGTATTCAATTTAGTAACTATTAGGACACGGAATGCTTGGTCAAATGAAGTACACAAAGCTAATCCTAGCTTGTCAGGGCTCCAATCTAAACTTGCAATAGGTTGAGTGGCAAGAGTACTATTTTGTACAAGATTCAGAGATCCCATAACACCATACTCTTCTCCATCAGCATCCTTTTCAACTCTCTTGGCTGGGTATTCATATTGCCACAGGCAAAGAGAGCCTGCTCCTCCTGTTGTTACAAAAAGGTCTCTGTTCTGAGGTAAATGGCGAGCAGCCCAAATTGTAGATTTGTGAGCTCGCTCACACATACTTGCAAATCCTTTCTTGCTATGTTGTTTTCGGACATCAAAAACATGAAACTTGGATTCCAATGTGGTGGCTACTAATTTATTCATAATTATATCTTTGCGATCAAATTCCAGACAACACACACCATTACTCACATTTTTCTCCCACTTCAGAGACAAAGTTCTCAAGTCAAACATCTTAATATCACCATTATCATAACCTGCACACACTACTCTTTGCTCAGAATTATATGAATTTCCAAACGCAACAGTCCAGCAGTCTCGTCGGGCCTCTCCTTCAGTAGGTTCAATAGTCACAACTGGCTTCTGCTTTTGACGTGGATCCCAAACCTTAACACTACCATCTCGACTACCTGTAACTATTTCTGGTGCCCCACAACCTACAGTCAGTCCACCAACTCCATCTATGCAATTTATTATTTCTTTATGAGCATTTACAGAATAAACAGGAACAGAGGTATCTTCAAGATTCCACATATGCAATCTTCCTTCAAAATCTCCAGTAGCAAGATGCCTACATTTAAGACTTGAGGCACCAAACGTTCCACATTTAAATGCCTTTCCTTTCTCGAATTCTTTCAAAAGTTTTGTTTCTCCCTCACAAATTTCGTAGATTTGCAAAATACCTGTTCCTCGAGGTGTCGAACCAAGAAGAACAAATTTGGCAGAGGAAGGGATCCAACGCCCATCAAAAAGAGAGTAATTAACGTTTTTCTCAGAGTGACAGATTATCTGAGGTTTATCCATCACTAATTACCTTCCACGGATTGTTAAGAGACACTTCTTGGACTCTTTCTCTCATAGACACGGCAGCGCAACGTTTCTAGGCAACGCAAACAATCCCATTACTTCACATTCAATTCACAACGCGACGCGACGCCTATGACATGCAGCAATTCGAGCAACGTGAGTGCGCGGCAGACGAACAGCATGAGCGGTGATGAGCGGCGTGCGCGCCAGTGCGCGCGCAGCAGGGGGTGGGGGAAGAGTGGAAAGAATCGATTTCTATCGTATCTTCCCTTTAGTTCGATAAAACATGCATCGATATTCCATTCCGATGGATCTCCGTACGAACAGATAAATCTATCAAGTGGAAATCAAGCCCACCACTCTCCTCTTTAAATTTGAGAAGGGAAAAGGAAAGAAGACGTTTTCTTAACGGGAGTTTAAGTGAAAGTGTCTGTTAAGTGTAATGTCTTATGGAACACAATGCAGAATATAAGTTATTTTTTCAATTTAGTGAAAGAGGGGGCCTGGAAATTCACCGCTCTTTACGAGTTCTCGGCTGATATAATCTTTATTTGGGGTATTTGGGAACAATAGAGGCTTATTTTAATTATTACTAAAATAACACAAAATGTATGCTAATTACTGAAGCGCAACAATATCCTACGCTATTTATTCTGATTTAAAATATCCTCCGCGAGGCAACCCCACATTCAATTTATATTTTTAAGTCAACATGAACGTACATAAATATTTACTATAATTATTGCACAATGAAAAATAAATAATCACATACACACAATTTACATAAAACAACCATTCATCACGTTTATGCATGCTCAGATCTGTGCATTATTACTTAATTCGAAACTCATTTAATGACCATTTACTAACTGATTATATTGTAATTAATTTATATTCGAATACAATCTCGGTAAAATTTAGAATGTCATTTTCTTTTCCAAAATTCTACTTCCCTTTCTGAAGACTGCACAGCATGCTTGAAAGATCAATTGATCTCGCGAACACTTCCATCATTTCACCATAGAGACTGCGTCCATTTTTGTTATACTTGTACACTCGAAAGTTTTTAAAGTTCCAATTTCCTCGCCCGAGCGAATTTCTTCTTAAAACGTCCAAATTTACGTTCAACTTTATTATTACTTCTACTCGAAAAAATATTTAAGTCATCAAATACGTTGCAACAGAAACTCCGCGACACGTGACTGTCCCCTACGGCATCTTTCTACCATCTCTCTCCATCTCATCTCTATCTATCTCTATATATTTTCTGTCTCTCTCTCTCCTTCACAGTCTCTCTTTTTTTTCTCACTCTCTCGTTCTCTCCCTCTCCCTTTCTTTCTCTTTCGCTCTCGCACTCACTCTCTCGCAGAAAACAATCAAATCCTTTTTAGTATACAAATAATTTTTCAATTTTCGCACCCCAGCAAGCTGGCGCCCTGCCCCTCCAGAAGCACTGGAATAGCCAATTTGTTGTTAAAATCGCGCAACGAATCTGCGCAATTAATAAAAAAATATTCAATCCAGTTATATACATGTGCTAGTGAACGTGGCATGTTGGTTCATCTGGGAGCGGTGGTACATCGCCATCATAAACTGGCGGGTCCTGCCTACCACCCTAAATGGACCTCGGAGGCTGTTTTATGGTACCTTAGGCCATGGCTTTGTCAATACACTTTGCTCTATGAGGGAACTCCTCCACAGGCCGATTTGTCATTAAATTCAAGTCTCAATTAGAACCACGATAGTTTATTTTAAAATCTAATAACACAAAAATGAAACTTTTAAATAGTAAAGTACAGAAGCCATACCATTTACGTAAATTAGTAGATTATCTAACTTCTGTTACACTTAGATATCTCGTGTATACTGTTAAATATTAACTCATGTCTTTAAAACTTCGTTTTCTTTTGTCAATATTATTAAATAGATAGCTTATAGTTTAATGTTCCCAACTCCCTATTTTCTTGCTAATCGAAATGTTAGTTAAAACTTCCATTATAGCCTTCTTAATAATCCACCGTAGCGTTCGGTGGTTAAATTCAATTTTAAAATTTTTTCTTATATACTGTCTGACAAAAAAGTGATGCACCCAATAGTGGTTGAATGAAACTACATATGCTGAAAGGCCACGCGACTTTATTGAACTGATTACAATATGGGATGAAAGAGACAAGGCCGTTGGCAGTTACAGGTGAAAATTTAGCGCCAGGTCAGTAGGATGTCGTACCTCCTCTGGCTGCAACGCATGCCCATATGCGTTCGGATTGGTGCCAAACAGCTTTTCGATCCTCTCTTGAGGAAAGTTCGTCCGCAGTTGTTGCGGCTGTTCCTCCAGGTCCTGTAGATTGGTACTGTTAAGGAGTTCCCATACAATGGCATCCAACACGTTTTCAATGTTGAGAAGGTCCGGCGATCATTTGGACACGGGAGGACCTCAACATACTCTAAGAAGCCCATAGACACACGTGCTGTGCGTGGGCGTGCATTATCTCGTTGGAACACTGTCCCAGGGCGCTGTGCCGTAAGGGGTAGGGCGTGCGGACACAGAATGTCTGTGACGTATCGCTTTGCGGTCATAGTCTGCCGAATCCTTATATTGTTTATAAATACTTATATTGTTTTCCTCATATCAATCAGATTTTGGTCCAGTTTTGCTGATCCATTGCAGAGATGGACCCGTTTTACTTCTGAACATAAATGTAGCTTCACTATGCGAACGTTTTGTTAAACTCTCCGTTTGCTTGTAGTGGTGGGAATAGAACTGGGAGTGAATTGCAATTTTGTTGGTAATACAGAGGATTCAAATGTGGAATTTGTTTGCCGATGCAAGTAAAGTTTCTGTAACTCGGGAACGAAAATGTCGTTTCTACAAATGTTGCTAATTTCACGATTTTTTCAATTTATTATTTAATTTTATTTATCTTTCAACTATTAATAGCTCCAATGTTGGGCGGGGGTCAGGAATTCAAGAAAACGTGCGCAGTTGATTTTCTTCCCCATATGTTACATACAGTTTTTGACTAAATAAATCAAATATCCGATGGTACACCATGATGCCCGGGGTAAAGACAGTCTCATTTTGGGTAGGATGTGCCCTCTGCCCTTCACGTCGCCACACGTGAACACAATGGTCATCGGAGGTTATGGCGAAAAGGGACCCATCACTGAACATGATGTGACACCATTCGTCCGCTGTCCATACCTCCCGGACAGGGCACCAGTCCAAACGCCGACAGTGTTTTGGTGTCAATGACAAGCGACGCATGGGGCGGTGGGATCTGAATGCGGCGGATTCTAGTCGACAAGCAGGAACTCACAGATGTTGTAGTCATGAGTACATATTTCCGAATAGAGGGTGCCAACGTGATGGGATTCCGTACTGCTAGGCGCGCCATACGACGGTCCTCCCTCGGGGTTGTTTCGTGGTCGACCTCAGCTTGCACGACGTGCATGGTGCCTTCATGTACCCATTAATTCCAACATCGGCCACTATATCTGAATGCTTTGCAACCAGCATCATGAAGTCCCACAATGCGGCCTCTGTCAAATGCAGGTAATTGGTGGACAAGCCGTTAATTGGTGGTCGAACGCGTCTGCGTGGCAACGCGGGTGCTTCGAACTGTAGGTAAACGTCGTTCTTCACTATCTGACTCACAGTTGACTGATAACAACTGCGCAACAACAGGGTGGTGACATCACGAAGGCACTCTAGTGGGCCTTCTACACATTACACGTGTGTGTGAATCTAATCATTTACTTTCACAAATGAATGGTAAGCAAGTATACCAAAATGGGGTAATATTGGACCCCCCTTATCGGTGCATTACTCGTTTTGTCAGGCAGTGTACTTGTTCGTTTTGCTTATTAACTTCGTCAATTCTTTAGCGTAGGTTAGTTGGTTTTCCCATTCATTTATTTTCTTTAAAAATTTTAATAAAAGTCAACTCAACCATGTACGAAGAAATTCCACTTCAGCTGGCGTGGAGAGCAGCCTTTGGTTAAAAATTACACCAATATGGCTAAATTACCACATGTATTAAAACGTCTAGCGAATGCTGGAAGGAGGAGGATAAAGGCAATGTCTGACTGCCTCCAACTCTCATCTTTGCCATGCTGCCGCTTGCGTTCCATGTAACAAGATTTATGAATAAACAATTATAATGTCAAACCCCCACGATGCCTCCAACGCCAGATATGAGTCTGCTTACATTCTTAATGCCTAGCATATAATTACCAGGAAGGGAGCCTCAGCGACCGCAACTTGACCCGTTATTAAAACATTGATCATCAGCTGCACACGGAATGTACCAGCATTCCGTGCGCACCTAATGATCAATGTTTTCAGAATGGGCCAAGCCGCGGTCGCTGAGACCCCTAAAACGTTGCCCGGTAAACGTGGAAGTACTCAAAACGTGTCCTGACAGTTTACGAAAATTAAACAAGTTCATTTAGTGAATGAGTTATGCGTTCTCCAATCTTTCAGCGATTTATTTTTAGGGGACGGTACCACCCTCAAAGCCTCAATGAACAGCAGCCGCTTCCTACCACCATTACAACCGCTTGTTTTTAGAGAGGGCTCAATTATTAGAGTTATTTAGAGACAAAAATGTATTTGTAGTTACAGATCTTGACAGTGCGCACAGGTTTGTTTTATACACATGATCTTATTCCTAATTATATTTGTTGTAATGTTAAAAGTAAATTTTTAATCCATTCTTTCAATTGCAGAGACTTTTGCAAAAGGCAAGAGTTTTTTTATGAGCTAGTTTGTACCGCCTTCTTTTCTTCAGTCCTTTTGACTCTAGATTGAATACTATTTATGGGATTCATATCAGGCCTATTTGCACAGACTAATCAATGTCTTATATTTTCCAACTTTCTTTCCAATCGTAGCCGAAGCACAGTCGGCATGTATGTGAAATCACACATTTGTTTGAGTGGATTATTGGTTCTACACAACCTGCAGGAATTGGTCATGTCTCATTATATCAATTAACTGGTTTACAGATTTCCAGTTCCATTAACAGGCGTTACACTTCATACAAATACCTTTTTCAGATGTTTCCATGGACATATTGTAATCCAATAAGTCAAGGAAAAATTATTTACTGTAATAATTTGGCCACCTCTATATGTATTACGATTATTCACATCAAGGAAGAAGCATCACTACTACAAGAAATGAACATAGGTAGGAGTATAAGGAATGTAAAAAATAATAAAATCCTTTAAAAATCTTTTATTAATAAAAATTGTCCTTGGATCACTTCTCTTTTTGCAGCCATTTAGGTATATTTTTATTTAATCAGTTTTGTCACTCCAACACTCGTCACTTTTGATTTCCCTTTTGTAAAAAGCTATTATAAATATAGAGAATCTTAATTCCAAACGAAGCATCTAAATTATATTCTGAATTAATTCAACTAAGAATTAATTAACTTCATTGAAAATTGTAGGAAGATTTTAAAGAATAAAACTAAAGATACGATTTTTTTTAAAAATGAAAGGTATCAATGTAAAAAAAAGCCTTTCATTACTTAAGGCAATGAACTGAATGAAAAGTTAACATCAGGAAGTTTAAAATAGAATTTTCTAAGACAAAGGGTTTCATAACATTTTTATTTCAATAATGTTGGAAGTTAACTAATAAATAAAACCTGGAAACAGTTTTCACAGCAGAGATTCAAAAGGGTACTGACGAATTAAAGCAATTTCTACCATTTCTTTGTAGCACACCCGACACAGCGTCATCTTTCAAGTTGAAATTCATATTTACACATGAATTGTTTTTACATAAATACTTATGAATGTCACATAACATGCGTAGTCGTATGAGCAGCCAAATCATCAGCATTCAAGTAAAGACGTTCGCAAGAATCACAAGAAAATGCACCTTTCCCAGGAGCCATTGCACAGAGGCGGCCGTGAACCTCCATGTAAAAGGGTGTGGCGAACGCCATTCCACAGAAAGAACATGGGAACTTACAACCTTCACCTGCGCAACAGAAAAGAAATATTTTAAAAACCCTTCGATTACAAGAACAACTTCATGCACTTGAGTACAATATAAGCACTCGTGATCTGCAAAAAGAGAAGCGCGAACACTGAAAAGTCGCAAATTTGAAATTCAGGTGGAAAAACATTTTGTGGTGTTACGCCAGGACTACTTTCTCGTATTTTTTCAGCGGTTACGTAATATTACAATAGGGCTGCTATTATTCAACTATATTCACCCATCTCTTGAAAACCTCTCCGGTAAAAGAAGCGTGGGGGGGGGGGCGATATGCAATATTCGAAGAATACATTTATTTAACGTCAAATCAGTTAAAAACTGTGTGACGTACTATGGGGAGAAGTGCAATATGTGCAAGGTTTCTTGAGCTCTGGGATGACACCCACATTTCTTGAACGTTTCCCTTTTATTACGCTAGGTAACCTACCACTGCCTTGCATCTTCCTTTGCGAATCGGTGGTTGTTGTCAAAACTTACTTACGAGTGAGAATGCATTTTCATTTAAAACTGATGTCTACAATTAACACAATATAGAAATCATATTCAGGTGTCAGTAAAAATAACTCATTACAACAAATGATCATACAATAGATATACATAATTTTACAACACATTGCCGAATGAAATTAAACTCTTCAAATCCTTTCACAAGTTGGCCAAATGGGACACAAGGGCCAAGTAAAATCTCTTCTGCTGCATTATTGTTCCTATAAAATTATACTTATACTAAGCAGCACCAAAAGCGAAAAAAATATTTTAAAAGAGATATGTTGTACATTGGTTAACAGTTTTGTGTATAATTCTAAAAGACTAAATATAGCTGTAAAACTTGTTCTTGAGCCTCTGGGTCAATGGCCCTCACTCAATCAAGATGTTTCGCGTGTTTCATTGAGCAAATACTGAAATAGCCCCTTGTTTTGCTGAGTGGTCATAAATTAACTTCACTATAAGTGCACATTCTCTTGAGTTATTAGAAGTGTTACTGGGGATTACAGTAATTCAAATACTCGTTTTCCGTTTCCTCAGGGCATTAAGTATATTCCTTGGGGAGGTACGCTATTAAAAATTAGAGCTAAAATCTGTAGCTCATTTGCCACTGCTAATAGTTTTTATTTCACGGGAGTGAATATTATTATCGACTTTTGTCAAAAACGTTCGGTGTCGCCTTTACGCATATTTGGACTTAATATTGTACTAGCTGAACTCGTGCGATTTCAGTGCACAGAAAGAAATGCACTTAACAAAATTTGATTTTTTTCAATTTTCGAAATATCAGGGTTTTTAATCAACATGAGACATGCGCCATTCTCTTAAACGTCCTTCAGACTATCCAACAAAATGTAATCAAAATCTACGGCGCCACTTTATTGAAAATTGTGGAAATGTCTTAGGGGCTTCATATAAAGTTCTCCTTCAAAATTAAAACATTGGTTTCAAATTCAAGGGATCGCGACATCAGCCAGATCGATTGGGGAATATTAATTTTGGAGAAAATCGGCTGAACGGTTTATCCTCTAGCATTGTTCACAGACAGACGTTTTGCTGTCAATTTATTTTTAAGTATCAAGGACCTATAAATCATGGATTCTAACTACACCACGTTTTAGAGGATTTTTTAATATTTACAAACTAGATTTATCAACTTTTTCGTACACAGGGCCCCGCAATAAAAGTTTTCTGCCAAAGTTTGCCGTTTTTTCGCGCGGCATGTCAAAACTTTCTCTTCTTAAGAAATTCCTTCTTCAGCGCGACAAGTTAAAAATGCCTGGCTTCAATAATCATAATGAATACGGACATATAAATGAAATTGGACATATAATGTAATATCTACGGTATACGATATGACCTGTAGGAAGGAGATTTCTATGCAAATGCATTTTTCCGTTCTAGTTAGAAAGTGAGCTTAATTGGTTTGTGTCTGAAACACCCAAATCCCAAGTATTTAAACGTGGTTTTACGATGCATATCTTTCAAATTTTGCCTTAATAAGCGACATATTTTTGCAATATGGGAATTATTCTGCATAACTTGCTGACAAATTAATTTTTACTAAAAATGTAATTAATACATTTATTTCAATGAATTTCATTTTTTATTTTGTTTCTATATAAATGGTTCACTGTAACTAATATCAGGTTTTTGTATCTCAATTACATGTGATATTTAACAATAAATCACGATACACCAGCAAATACTTTCCAAAATATTTTTTGCAATTTCTCGCATATTATGTTATGTAATTCTTCAAAAAAAAAAACACCCAATGTCCATATTTTAACGGAAATACACTTTTTGGATTTCCTGCTACCGAAAATGTGATTTTCACATTCTCAATGCGATGCTATGTAGCCGTAGTATACATGGTACACACACACACGCACACACGCGCACGCACGCGCACACGCACGCGCGCGCACACACACTGTGTGTGTACATATATAT